GGGCAGCGGCCGTGCCCCCCGGGCGCTCTCTGCTGCCGGGCCCTGCTTCGCCGGGTCCCTTCCCCGAGCAGTTGCCCGTCGGGGAGAGGCCGCGCCAGGCCTACGGGCCTAGCCTACGTCTGCGTCTTTAAGACTTCGATTCAGACTCGTTTAGGGAAAGCCCGTGAGGGCTGTGAACGCGGTGGGAGCTTCGGGACGCATCAGCTCTTTCGTTTGTTAATAGCAGCTTATTGCTTTTAATTTTATTTTGTGCCATGCTGGTGCCTCTTTATTGCAGAGACTCTTCAGGCAAGCTGGGGAAGCAGCGTTTCTGGAGGCAAGGTGCTGTATGCGTGCACATGGTACGTGCCTGACAGGCAGAGAGGCAGTCACTGAGTCTTGCATGACCAGCGTGAGATGTGGAGCCTCTTTGAGGAGACGTCCTTGTGGCTTTTGACTGGGGTTTTCCTTCTGGGAGGAGGGTCTTTACAGGTATCTGCCTTCTGTATAGCAGATAAAAGTTGCTGCCTGTCTTGTCAAGCCTAGATGTTTTAGACTGTCGTTCATTACAGTATTGTGTGCAGAAAGCATTTTTGTGACAGCAGAGCATGCACATCACCATTTTGCAAAGTAGGGAAGAATCCTGAGTGAAGCTTTCATTGACCACTAATCTAGAGCGGACAAATTGTACCTTTCCATTGAATGCTGAGCTGCCTTGGAGAGGCTGAGATGTGACACTCTGCTTCGCCTTTTAACTCCTTGCCTCAACCAACAAGGTCTGAAGAAATACGTTAATTTGAGGCGCTGATTGTGACACCAAGATCTTGTATTCTTCTTTGACCCAAATCTGATAACTTTAGCAGAAGAATGCAGTGTTGTAGATTTGAGGATGGGGAAAAAAAATGACAGGGTTCAGAAATCAGTAGGAGTCAGAGATGATTCTTTTTGAGTTCTGATTTCTTTTACATGTACTTGCTACCTTTTCTCTTTTAACTGTGTCTAGTTCATGGCTGTTGTTGTGATGTAAGTGTCTCCCTTAGGCTGTAGGGCTCTGCTGCTGCGGAAGAAAAATGCACTGTAAATGCAGATGAATTAGAATAAAATAAAAATCATAACGACATTGGATTATATCAAGTAACTAAATTTTTTTGTAGCCTGGTGGCGCATGTGAAAACCTTGGACAGGAGTGGAGTGGTACTTTGCTCAAACAAATGCTGTGTCTGATTCTTACGTTGTTTTATGTCTGTTGAGAGTAGTGGCAGACGTCGGTAATATATGCCTCAGAAGTTTAAACGCTGCTTCTGGAAAGAATTGGAAGAGTATTGTAGACCTCAGTTTCTCTGTAAAGTAAATGCCATTCTCTGTGATACACTGGTGCTGCATTAGTTGGTGATTAGGGTCCCTTACTGTCCTATCTGGCCATCCTTCTCAGGCTTACACTTGAGCTGAAGTTGGTTAATCCAAAACTGTATCTTGGCACTTGAAGCAGTCTGTGGCTTTATTGCCCGCTGTGCGTTTGCATCTTCTTTTAGTCTGACTTAGACCACTGGTCCCAGCTGCATTTGTAAAACTTCCTGCAGCGCTGACGGGCTTTTCAAACAGTATCCATGGAAAGTCCAGAGCATGATAGAAAACTATTTATTGAGACTTTTAATGCAGACAGGGGATACAACAACAGATGTGAATGCACTATAATCACTATGTTCGGGTGTATATAGGTGCTCATGGTCCTTTGACAGCATTTCTGATCCCTTAGATGCGTTCCTAGGACAATATCCTCAGCAGGTTGCATGTGTCGGCTAGATGGTGGTCCCTCTAGGCAAACAGTTTGTGTGTGGTTAGCTTTTAAGTAGCCAATTGTAAGATTGGAGACAACTAGACCATAGGATGCTGGGGTTAGTGCTGATCATCAGTAGTGTGTTATTTTTCTTGCATGTTTTCATTGAGCTCTGGTGGATAAGAATTATTCCTTATGATGGCCAGGTGAGTGTTGCTAATGTGCTTAGATGGCTTCCAGGGGGCATGGAAAAGGTACCATTAGAAAGCAAACTGTTTTCACTACATTCTGTCTGTTTGCAAGTCCCATATGTATTTAAGCAATTTCTGGCTCGTTGGGACTGCAGAAGGACCAAGTGAAAGGCGTTGGTTGTATTAAATTTCCAGACCCACTTAGAACGTGGAAAGAACACATTTAAAGCTTTTATCTATTTTTGCACCAAACTAATGCCCATCTCTCTATTACCGTCTTGTAGCTCTTTACATTTGGGTGGCCTCTATATCCATATGGAGGAAGGACTGACTTTGAGGAAATGGTTCCTGGAACATCTAACCTCTTCAGACAATGACTGCATAGTTGGCTTCTTGTGCCTGACAAGTCCCGAGACAAATGAAGGCAGTTTCAAGGCCTGCTCTATTTTTTGATTAACTTTTTTAATACGCAGAGACTTGGACAAATGTGTGTACATGCCTGTGTGGAAGAAGCTTATTGCAGAAAGATTAACAGCACACTTTGCTTATAACTGGGTGTTCTGTGTCTGTTAATCCTAGCATCATCCTCATTCGGGCTTTGAAGCCTGTGATGATAGGGCATGAAACACTTGGCTTCTGATGCGTGTGGTGCTACTTATGCATATCAAAGAGGGACCTATCAACTGAAGTATGACTATTGGAGCCCCTGTTGTGGCAGAAAGCTCCGTAAATAAACAGCAAGTAGGTGTGTGCTTATACTAGGAATGCACAAAAAAAGGAGCTGTCTGCAGAAGTTGCAATTTTTGCTGTGCAGTTGCAAGGGAACCGGGCTGAAAGGTAGTGTTTCTTTCTGCATCCTTGGCATCAGTCAGAACCGCAATGATATCCCAGGTGTTTTTGTGTTAAGTCCTTCTCCGACAGTAGCAAGGCACTGTAGCAGGGTGCTCCCTTCCCTTCCTGCCCTGAAGTAGCCTTTGCTAGCGGCCGTGTTCCACAGATGTCCTTGACAGCCTTGGTAGAGAAGTTGGGCATTTTCCCTGTGTGTTGGGGGAGGGTTTCATTGTGCAGAGGGTACAGGGAAGTTCCCCTTGCTGCTGCTTGTGCCATACATAGGCTTGGTGTAAATGGAAGTTGTTGTTCAGGGACTCTTGAGCTGACAGCTTTCATTAAGGTCAGTGTTTTGAGGTGTCTGAAATCGAACAACTAACTTGTGATGTTGGCATCGGATGAAGAGGTCTGGTTCCTCAGTCATGAAGTGCTGAAGTAAATGGAGTCCCTGGAAACCTTGAAACCTCTGAAAATCTGCTTTGTTTTGGTACGCAAAACTCTTAAGTCTGAATGGTTTTAGTCCAGCTTTTGCACAAAATGAGGGACAGGAAAAAGAATTTCAGCGAGTCTTACATGGTTGGTGGTTTTACACTAAGGCCTTGCTTTTAAAAAAAAAAAAAAAACAACCAAATGTAAAATTCCCTGGATCTCTTTGTGATCTTGGAACCAGCAGCATCACATCTAGCCAATCTTGATCAAGAATGAGATCCCTGAAAATAGTATAAATATTCCAAGCGTAGGTCATAAGTAGTGCATGGAGTAATTCTTGTGTCTGTTAGCATCCTTCTCACAAGGTATCTCTCCACATATTTTACAATAAAGTATGATAATAGCATAAGACAAAACATTGGCTTCAGGGCAGTGGCTGTGCCTGCACAATGATTGAACTTTGGTTTGGTCTGAGATCAAGACAGAGATTCACTTCCAAGCTTTGCATTTTCTCGTGCGTACAGCCTACCCGTATGGCAGATAACTGTAGTTTTAAAAATCCATATCCACTTTCCTTTCCAACTTCACAATAAATCATCGAGTCCTGATGGGCTTTTAAAAGTGGAAGAGATCAAATATGTACAAAATATTTCAACATACCAAGTGTGGGAGGGTGTCAAGTCTGTAGCATTAGTGCTGATCAGTGATTGAATTAGTGTGAAATGTATTTGCAAACACTTTACTCGCTGCCTGTGAGAAATGGATTGATGGTCCCAGGGTCTGGGAATAAGAGGTGGGGAGTAATAGTCACAAATATTTTCTTGCCCAGTAGATGGGAGGTGGAATAGTTGCCTTCCTAGTAAGTTCTCATACGCACAGAAGTAGAAGTCTTTGTAAATACCACCCTTGGCTTTCAACCTAAAACTAGCCTGGGCAGTAAATGAAAATGCTTGGAAATAGCACGGCTTCTGCCAGTAAGAGGGCAGAGAGAGAGAACTAAAGCAGGGGGACTGGCTAAGGAAGAAAAACTTTTCTCGCTTGGGAGATTTGAGTGATAAGGGGAGCAAACAGAGTCAGTGAGGGCGAGTGCATTGTCCAAATCTACATGGACAGACTCCTGCATCCTGACAGGGATGCTAATGCTAGGATCCCGAGAAGACCGTATGCTGGAGTGGGGAGGTTTGCATGATACTGTGCCTCTGATGTTCTTGGTTGGTGATGATAATGGAGTAAGTCAAATCTGTTGTCTTAGACCAGGTGCTTCTGTGGCTTTGCAAATCCAAGGCCGTGGTGTTGGCATTCTGGCAGTGATGCGCTTGTTGGCTGGCTTTTTGCTGGATGAATGCCATCCTGCTCCCAGCTGGCTGGTAGACCAGGTGTTGGCTTGTCTAGTAGCATGTTGTTCGGCGATGAAGAACAAGGTAAACAGTTTGTCTGGGACTCTGGTACAACTAGTTGTGTCCTGGGGTGATCCTGAAATAGGGTGGCTGCAGTATGTATAGGAACAGTAGAGTGAGACAAAAATGAATAGTTTTCCTTTGCTGTCCCCATCTTATCCCCAGGAAATCCAGTTCTGTAACCAGTTTTCCATGTCTTCAATAGGTTCCATGTGAACAGCACGCAGGGCCGGGCTGCAAGAGCAAGAAGGCAAGATGTTGTCGAGGCCAAAGCCTGGGGAGTCCGAGGCAGACCTGCTGCACTTTCAAAACCAGTTCCTGGCAGCCAGAGCTTCACCTGCAGTGAAGATTGTGAAGAAAGCAGACAAGAGGAAGGGGGCGGAAGGGAGCACAGATGCTAAGAGACTCTCGCTACAGGACAGCAAGGATGTAGTCATGTTGGATGGTAATTTCCCTTGTGGGCTTCTTTGAATTACTAGGATTCTCTGTCCCTTTCAGTGTTCCTCAGCGCTTGTCTTTTCACCTCCCTCTCAACCCAGTGTTGCTTTTGCCCTGCATGTGTGTCCTCCTTGCAGTATTGTTTGTTCTTAGCCTTGTTGGAAAATGCACTTGTCCAATGTTACCAGCATTCAGTAGAACCACCTTTCCAACACATTGCCTTTTTCTATGTTTATCAGCTGCCTGTGGTACCTTGCCAGCCTCAATGCAAGTGGTATTTTCTGTGATTTGTACCCATTGGACACTCACTGCTTATTTTGCCATCTATGCAGACCCTGTTGTCAGTGTCTTTGAGATTTAGCTCTGGTAACAGCTACAGCTTTCAGCCAGCAGGTCTGGCTTGATAAGCCTCCTTCCCGCGGTTTTGTTTTCCTCCATCAGCAGTAACACTGCTGTCTTGTGCTTAATAGTCTCAGAGGCTCAAAGTGCTTTCTTAAAAGCAACAACTTAAATCTTGCAATGCTTAGTTCCAGGTGAGGAAATATGATCCCACTTTATAGATAGCGAAAAGGAGGCCTTGACTTGCTCATGATTGTACAAATCACTCACTGTTAGAGCCAGCAGTGGAAATGTGCTTTTCTGTGCCTGAACAGAACCTGCAAGGACACTATGTGTTTCTGTACAGCCTTGCTTCTTCCCTTAATACTTGCAGTCAGGCCTCAGTACCCTTTCCTGCTTATGCAGCTCTTTGAAAAGATCTTGGTGCTAATACATAAATAATAAAATTCTTGAGCATGTTTCTTTCCACTACCCAGTGCAAGTCAGACACAGAGGACTCTTAATTGTCTTATTGCTTCCTTATCTTCTTTGTTTCTCATCAGAGCAATAGTAGGTGCTATTAGGGAGCCTTGGTCTGGTATCTGTTGCACAGTAGTTGTATATGAGTAACTTGACTGCTTTTTTTTCTTATTATTTCCCCTCTCCAGATTTTCCTGATATTCTCCCAGCTCTAACTCCAGCTCCTCCAAAAAAGTCCAAGATCAAAAGTGCCTGTGTCCACTTCGAGGATGAAGATCCAGAGGAAAGACTGGAAAGTCATGATCAACACATTACAGCAGTCTTCAGCAAAATTATTGTATGTCTGGTTTTTATGTGATGGTCTAGTGTTTTTTTGAATGCTGTGAACTAAGCAGTGGCCAGGGATGAAGGATTCTGTTGCTGCTTTTTATTTCTACAATGTAATGCAGCAGTTGTAGCACGGTAGACGACTGTCCTGGAGCACCTTGAAAGAAAAAGCTCTTTGGGTATATTTTTGCTGTCAGTTAAATATGGGTTTGAATCTGCTCTCCAGTCCAGACCTGCCTACAGGTCACACTGCTTGCATGCAGGCATGTGCTCTAGTGTGGATTTGGGTGAGTTTCTGGACTCTCTAAGGGGGATGTTCTCATTGCTTTGCCCTGGCCCAGGTTATCCTTTATCTGATTCTTTGAGTAGGTGTGTGGAGTTTGGCAGCCCAGCCTTTTGGAAAATAGCCTCGCTTTGGCTCTAAATAAGCACAAGGTATTCTAAGCCTGAGAGTGATGTAGCAGAAAGCTTGTGAGCTGCAGAGCTGAGAGATTTTGAGTCCACTCTTAGCTAAATGATATAAACGTGTCTGGCTGTTGCGATGGTTTCTACAGGGTTTGAATTTTTTGCTGCAGGAACGAGATACGAGTGCAGTAGCAGTGACCATGCCAGTGCCCTCAGGAGACCCATTTCCAAGGACATTTCACCGCTCTGAGATAAAAAGTGAGGTAAGGTTGGGAGCAGCTGTTTTATGCTACCTTCATTGACAATTAAAACTACCCCACAACAAAGCCTAATGCTTGGTGGGTGGTAGGGCTCAAAATAAGTGACTTGGCATGCTGGAGATCATAAGCTAGCTCAACATATCTCTGGCATTGCCACCTTAGTGTAGGAGAGAGCTCTTCTACCAAGCTGCCGTCAAGTAGGTACTCCATACCCTGCAGTTAAATAACATCGGAATCCTTTCGGTTTAGGAAAGAGGTGATCCCCTTCAGCTAACTTTAGTGAGGTGGATCAAATCTGCGTTGCTGTAATAGAATTGATCCTGTTCTGCTTGTTTTTCTCTGAGGAACAATCTCTTAATTTGTCCACGAGTTTGGTTAAGTCCGTACTAAAGTTGCACCCGATTTCTCCTGGCATGACGTTTGGGTATGGTTGCACAGATTATCTTCTGCAGCCTTTTGGATTTTGACATAATTTTTCTTCTGAGGCTGTAAAGCTGGAAGCCATGGCTGCTATCATCAGTTGTTGCTGTAGTAGCAAGAGCTGCTAGCTGAGTGGGAGTCAGATGCTGGGAACTGATATGCGATTGATAGCTGTGGTTGCTTTGAAGAGGTAGCTTATTTTGAACGGCAGCTTTTTTGAAAGGAAAGAGTAATACTTTTTAAACTACCAGTTCTGTTTACCTGATGCAGGAGTGCACAAAGCAGCTACCAAACGTTCAGACTGCCTTTTAAGTTTCTTCTCTGGACTGGGGACATGCAAGAGATTTTTTTTTTCTTATTCTGCTTTGGATTTCCTGTGCATCCTGTGTAAGGCTGTTCAGAGCTATGCCCTTCCATCGCCTAGGCAAGCAGCACAGTAATTTAGCCAGGATTATTTTAGCACCACTTGCCCACTTCTTACTGTGTAAATCTCTTCACCCTGCTGCTCTCTAATCACCTTATAAGAAGCCTGTTCCAGGCATGTGGTGAGCACAGTGCAGTACAACCCCATTTATCCTCAGAAATTTAAAGTATTCAGCTATGCAGAGTTTCCAAACAGCAGGAAAGCTGGAACTGTTGTGTTTAGTGATATTTTAGGTGTACTTCCCTGGCTTGAATTCACTTATAATTAATCATCTTCCTTCTCTAGGTAGCAAAAACATTCATGTTTTTGTCTCTCTGTCCTAGCGTTAAACTGTTAAAAAAAGGAATAGTACATGCACAGAAGAGGGCAGGTGGCTGCCAGCAGCTTGTCCGTGTCATATCCCAAAGTCTGATTTGAGGGTGTCTTTAGGATGAGATCTATACATTTGTTAGTGGCAGGTGTGCGGGGGAGTCTGGAGAGGAAAGTGGTGACACATGGCTTCCCTGTTTGCAGGTGAAGGTGGGATCTGGAAGAAAAAGCATCTTTGCACAAAAGATGGCAGCGAGAAGAGCTGCTGAAAAGGCAGCAACAGCTCCCTCTGCTGCTGAGTGCGTGCAAATAAGATCAGCTGCTCCGGCTGACCTGGATCCTGAGGGATCAGCAGAAGAGGCACCTCTCCCCAGCATCAGGGATGGTAAGTGGAGAAGGTTCTGCTTATCCAGCCTACCGTATTTACATAGCCTTAGTAACCATAACATCAGTGCACCTTATTTTTAAATTAGGGTAGCACTGTTGTCCTCAGTGTATCTCAAGGTCACTTGGAATGTCTGTGGTGTGACAAGGATTTGAAATGGTCTGAGACACAAATTAACATTCTAAAAATTGGGTTAGCTTTCTCACTGATTTCCTTTTTGCTTCACACAGGGCCAAACAGATTTATTTTTCAAGGTTCTTGTCCTCCTTTTCCTCTCTATTTGTTATACATAAAGCTTTTCTTGTTTCATCATTGATTTCCACAATTTTAGGAAGAGGTTCTTGTGTCTGATGAAGGTGTTTGGGACCACTGTGATACGGGTTCTCACTCCTACCTAGAAGCTGAAAGCTCAGTCTTCCGTCACCAGATCCGCTGCCATGAAAGTATGGCTTTGCTCCATAAGGAATGCTGTGAGGCAGTGCTGATGAGGCAGTGCCACCTCCAGCAGTGACTTGTCTGACAGCAATGTGACAAGGAAAGATGAAACCAATTCAACTGCTACCAGCATCTCCAGGCTTTTTTTTTTTTTTTTTTTTTGTCTTGGGCAGTCCTATTTGCTTAGGACCACCATCAGTCTGGGTTTTTCCCTGACACCCTCTTTTTCACATTGAAATAGAGACCAGATGTCATTTGAGGGTTATTGCCATTTGGCTAAGGTTTCTGTCTGCCCTGACCACTGTCAGAGAATTGGTAAGAGAACCCACAGACATGCTGTGCTGTGCGTGCACAAATCCACTGTCCAGGTCAATGTACTGTGCTTACTGTATATCCTGTTACAATTGTGCGTGTGTGCTTCTGTCTGAGAAATCTCAAAGGCAAATACAGCAGCTCTATAGCTGTGATCCTCTTGAAGTAGAACACTTCTAAAATGTAGTAGCACGGCAGAAAATGGCTTGGCCTCCTCAGCAAGATTGTTGTGGCAGGATCACTAGAAGCAAGAGGAGAAGAGGGGGAGCTCCATTTCTTGTGGTAACAATGTGTTTGTGCCTGGTAACCCTCAGCTTAGTTGCTGATGGTGGGAAGCGTACTGAATCTTTTACCAGGTCACTCTGTTTTCTCGTCTCTTTCTGCTCGATATGCAAGACAACTGCTGTGGAAGTGACATCAAACCTTACTAATGTTATGATGAGTGTCATTACTGCTGTTTGAACAGGGGTTTGATGCTTTCAGGGTTGGCTGGCTTAGGGTCATAGGACCTCCGTATAGTCACTATATGGAGCATATGAACAAAACATAAGGAATAAAGCCACTAGGTCAGGTCCTTGTATAGTGGGCTACAGGACAGCTGGAGGGTCTCACTCTGACCAAAGGAGCATGTTACCCTGCTGCTGGAGTTAAATGAAATGGACCTTTAAAAAGGATTTAGATCAGGTGAAAGGAGACTTGATTTTTCAGGATAGGAAAAATGCACCCCTGCTGGAACTTCTGATATGTTTAAGCCTTAAAGGTGAATACAGGACATTGTTAGAAGCAAACATGCCTGTGTTGAGAATGGATCCTGTATCACTCTGGAAACTGGTTTACCTAATAATTTTAATTCTCTGTTTCACTCAACAGATATTTACTAGGTCACGGTTCAGCTGACATACAAATGTGGGTTCAGGCGCTCTTGGACAGCGAAAGAATCTAGTATTCACTAACTTGGAAGAATGGTCTGACTCATCAGTTGTGAATTATGCTCCAGTTTACCTTTTCTTGCTGTTGCTTTGCATTAAAGAAAAATTCCTTTCCCCCCATCCCTCCCCAAACTCCTAAAGAAACAAGGTGGAAATGACGTTTTGTTGTGACATGGGATGAAAGCCCAAATGTTTTAGTTTTGTTTGAAGCTAAACTAAACTTCTTTACTCCTATTTTAATGTGGCTACCAAAGTTAAAAAAAAAAAAAAGAAATTATGCAAGCTTGATAATGACAAAATTGAGATGCTGACAAAATTCATAATGTTGTAGACACTTAAATCACTGCTTTCTCTGCTGGATCTTATAGATAAAGCTGGTGACTTTTTGACCTCTCAGCGGCCTTGTCTCATAACGGGAGAGGGTCTTGGAAGCCAAAAGAGTGAGCAGGAAGCTCAAGCTATTCACAGAGAGAACTTGGAGAAGCTGCGGTCCATGTCTGAGGAAGAGATCCTACAGGAGCAGGAAAGGCTTCTGGCTCAGCTGGGTATGTGCTTCCCAGGGTGAATTCTAGAGACATGGAAGTTTACTTGAATGTGTAGGTGTCCTGAAGTCTTGCCAAATTCACAGATCAAAGATGGGAGTTTGGGATTCCTGCTCATTGCATATGTGGATAATCTAGCTTCCATGTCATGTCCGTAGCTTATGAGTAAGAATTAAGTGTGAAGGAATTAAAGAGCGCTTATTCCTCAGTGGGAGGGGGCTTAGCTTAAGTCTGTCTCCTCTCCCCTTTGCTGTGGGATAAGATGGTCCATGCACTCTGTTAGTTTGCACACTAAATAGCTGGTTACATATACACGTATTGAGCTCCTAAAATGTAATTCTCTGAAGCAGATAAGAAAGCAAAGCTATTCTTGGGATGGCCGTAGCAATGCTGAGGTGAGAGAGAGCCCTTGGTTTTCCCCTCCAAAATACCTGATACTTGGGGCAGAACTCTCAGTACCCAGATAGGGGAAATGTGTGGGCATGTGGGAGATTTCAGTTCAAATATGTACTTGACAGAGCAGAAAAACTTACAACTAGTCTTGAACTTCTTGAAAAAGTGATTTAATTATCTGGCTGTTGGGTGCAGGTGTTCTGGCAGGGGTCTGGTCTCTGGTTTGGAGCCCTGTCCACAGTGGTGCTCTGGGAATGCCTGTCACTGACAGGTGAGGACAAGATGGGGGAGAACACTGTGTGTGGTATGTTTGATAAGACTTTGTGTGACCTGGGGCACTGTAAAACTTGTTGGCGTTCGTTTCAATGATTTTGTATGCTTAAGAACATACAGATGTAGGTTGCAGACAAGGGTTTTTGAAATTCTCATAATTTCAGGTTCTCTAGCATCAAATTTAGGTGTGAGTGGCATTTTAGAGGCATAAGTCTCTCGTGTGTTTAGCTTAAAGATCATATTAATGATCTTGACTTCATTGCAAGCAGCATAGGTATAACTGGAAAGGTGGCAAAGGAACTGTTCAAAATAATTGCAGATAGAATGCTTAGTTATATCCTTCATTTAGAGAGCTGAGCTCTTCAAATTACCTGAGGTGAAAAACATTTTTTTTTTTTTAAACTTCACTGCTTATAACAATGGCATGTGTATGAAAAATACCTTATTTATGCACTTTATTCTTGTGACTGATTTGTGATCTTTGCTCCTTGTCCCTACCACTCCGTCCTTTGGGATATTAGTGAAGTGAATACTTAGGGAGTTCAAAAAGGATAGGGTGTATTTTAAGTATTTTTGAACAATAAATTATTTTCTGAAACAAGGTATTTGTTTATATGCCCTATGGGTTAAAATTGTAGATCTTTCAGTCTTTGAGGCCTTAAGGAAACTGGGAGTAATTTTGGCTTTCCCAAAATATCTGTGGTTAGGGAATTATGCACAATGAAGCAACTCCTAAACTAAATTGCTGGCTTACAGATGAACTTGGGATCTGGACAGGCACAGAGATGTGGATTAAAGAGACTCTTTCTTCATATTCAGGAGTGTGAATAATTGGTGGGTGTTTAATGCTGCCCAGTCTCTGAATTAACCTCTTAGTTATCAAGCAGATGAGACTCCATGGTGTGGACTATGAGGATGGGTAGGCAATTCCATGCTGGCCAGTGTCTTCAGGGTCTTACTGTCGATACTGTTTTGCCCATGGACACTGTGGGCAGAAGTAGGCTTATTTTCTGATGTACTGTGCATAGATTGACATCATCAGTGCCTTGTTTGTCACTGTTTGTGTGAAATGATGAAATAATGAATACAGTCTTTTCCTTGCTGTGTACAGTGAAGTGTGAGAAAGTGAGAGCTCTGCTTGCATTCGGGAAAAAATATGCGTGCTTTAATGAGACTGGGCTGAATGCCTCTCCTTTGCCAAGGGAGGTTTAAACTGCATCATGAGGAGAGCGTGCAGGAATTGCAAGTGTGGGATAGATCCCTGCATCCTCTTTGAACTGTTTCAGAGACGTGGGAGTCATTTCCTTTTTGGGATGACTTCTCTCAGGTGCAGAGCATTTCTGAATTCCTTGTCTTTTGTCCTCCAAAGAATAAATAATCAATGTAGGTGTTATATTCTGTTACTTTATACATCTCTGACACTGTTATTGGAGTGTCTCTGTGCCTTTGAGAGGTACAATTACTGTTCACCTCTGGCATAAACATCCCAACACATCTTCCAGATGAAGAGTATTCAGAGAGAAAGTGCGCTCCATCAAAAATGATGTGGGATATCTGTAGCAGATCTGAAATGATCAACATCTGACATTTTCCTATTTCAGAGCCGTAGGAATATTATCTGTCCTTCAAAACACCCCTACCTCCCAAATGTTCCTTTTCTCCTCCAGATCACGAAGAGAATGGCCACATCTGTTTTCTGGATGTTGTCAAATCATAATTGACTCTCAGGATAGGGAGTCGGTTTAGAACAAACAAGATCTCCTTCTCCTAATATAATATCTAGACTATGCAGCTCTAGTGTAGTTCAGTAAAAAGCAGGTAATTATTTTTGTTGTGTCTGTTCCTTGTATTCTCCTGGCCAGTGATGCCACTGAGGCACAGGCAGGGTAAGCAAACTGTGCGACCTGGGATCCTCCTATAAATCACAGACCAGAATTCTCTCCACAATGAATAATTTTGTTTGGATGTGCCTTTTCAGTGGCAGTGAGGGGGAAAGAAACAATTATCTCTTTATTTGTAAGCTGGGAGAATAACTAGAATTTTTGTGGTTGCTTTACCTTGAAAGACATTTATCAGCTCTTTCTCTGGTGTTGCCTCACCAGTCAGTTGTACCCAGCTTATGTGCTCAAGATGTCATAAAGCAGTTAAGAGCCTCAGTTTGAAAAGAAGTGATGGTACAGAAGAAGAGGGCATGTGGAATGGGAATGAAAAGACTAAAACATAAATAGCAGAGCTATAGGCATATCAAGTATTTTGAGACTTTCTGTCACTTCTCTGTCTGTCTCTTTGTCAATACTTGCAGATTCCAGTTTAGTTGCTTTCTTAAAGTCACGATGTGGTGGCAGTGAAGGCCAGAAAAAGGAATTAAAAATGGAACAGAACAGACTGGAGGAGTGTTTGGAATCTCTGCCTGTGGCTCAGCATGGTGCAGGATCATCTCTTTCCACTCAGGAGTCGGGTCTGGAAGAATCTGTAAGGAAGGAAGAAAATACGAAGGTAGAAATCACAGGTAAGAAACGAAGTGCATGTTGTTAATGTTCTGAACATAAATGTAAGATTTGCATGGTGTTTGCATCAATCCAGATTGGTTAGTTACCCAACTCAGAATTTTATCATGATATTTAAAAAATACATCTATTTTGGGTTCAAGAAAGAACGTCTCTGTTATTTCTAGCTGGGCTCCATAGATTAGAAGGGTGATAACACTATGTAACGGAGGTGAGCTATTCAGTGGGAGGTCTTGCTTTGTTTTTGAAATTTGTTCTGAGGTCTCTGAAGGGAAAATGTTTTAAACTAGGCATCATTGCTCTTCTGTTCAGTTGTGTGATCAGGGAAACAGAAGAGTGTGGTAGTGAGATTCAGCTGCTGCTTGAATAATTTCTTTTAACTGGGACTGGCTGGGGACAAGAGGGTGTTGGGTAGTAAGAATTAGTGATTTGCTCACAGGATGGCATGGAGATGACAGTCAATCTCACTTCAGGGAAATTGCTCATATAGCGCATGTATGTCTTATCATCATACTACTCCTGATGGCCCCACTCTGTGGCTTGTATCTCAGAACCCACATGGTGATTGCCACAGGATACAGTTTTTTTCTTTGTGCTGTGGATGGAGGGAATTATTAAGGTGTAGAATGTTCTTCTGCTTTTTTGGAAGAATTGTACAGAGCTGTTGCCTCTTATGACAGAACTCTTTAATACTCAATATATGCCTGCATGAGGAGAAAGCTGCTTTATCCCCAGCAGCTAGAGTAACCCATATATTCTCATGGCAGAGAAGTGTTTTCCCCTTAAGCTTCTGCTCTTACTGTTGCTTTCCTCACTGCAGTTTTTTCTTTAGCTATTTCTTTTTCTCTATTGTGATTTTAGGCTCCCATTCTCATCTTCCCCACACTTTTGTTCATAGCATGTCTCTCTCCCTCGTTAGCACGCTTCTCCCCCAGTTTCATGTCAATTTTTGGCTGTCTCTATCTCTCGATCCTCTCTTCTGATGCATTCTTTGTGTCCCAGTGCAACGTGCAGACTGATTAAAGAGGTCTCTGAATCACTCCTGGATTTCAGCTTGGTGTTTGCAAGAGATAACAACCATTTATCGTTTTCTCGATGAGAGGGATGAGACTGTGAGTGTATGTGTGTGTACACATGCAGGAGAAGGAAAGCTGATTAGCCTCTTACTGAGGAAGACACTTCAGTGAACAGTCCTTTTGCTGTTTCTCCCCAAGTTTTACTTTTCCACGAATTCATCTTAATCAAAAGGACTATTTTTAGCTCTTTTTAGTTCCAGAACAATCAAGTGCACAAGTAGCACCAGGTTAAGTGACATTCTTTTACTCGACTGGGAGCAATAGAAGATTGTAGTAGTGCTCTTGGGAATAGCTCAGTGTTCAGAGCATCGTGTGCTGACAACATCTTTTGCTTCCCATGGAAGACTGCACAGGAAAGGAGAAGAGGAGTTTCCCCAGAATATTTGAAATAACAAAGAAAGGATGAGCTGGAACACCGTTATAAAACCAAGGGAAGCCTTTCTAGCACTGAGTTTGTGCCTGCAGCCCATCTTGGCCAACAGGAGATGTAAAATATTAATTTGACATTAGCGCTTAGTGTTGGGATTTTGCATCTGTTCGTGCTCAGAAGTAAACGAATCATGAATAACCCAGCAGAAATGGTCATTCTGAATTTCCCCAGGGAGAGGGTGATGACACAAAGCAGTGGAATTGCTCAAAAGTCAAACCTGCCTCTCTAATGAGATAAAAGGCTACTGTTTCTAATAAACAAGCCTTTATCCAGCAACTTGTAATCTTATCAAATGGAAAAGTAAATTCTGGTACCAGGAAAAGGGGAAGCAAGGCAGAAAGGGAAGAGGTTGGGTGGTAGCCTTTAATAGAACCCAAGTCTGAAAAAGTTCAGTGCAAGTGTTGCATTCACACTGTCAGCTTGTGTTTCTGTAAAGGCATCTCTCAGTAACTGAACAATCTGCTGATGTCTTGGAATATATATCCGTCTTTTCTTGTTGATCAAGATCATAATACTGAAGGCTGGTGGTAATATGCGTAATCCTATTCATAGAATGATTAACTCAACCCTATCAATTTAGCAATTAATGGAGAAAACAATTTGTTGAATTACAAATGTCAATAGATTTCATTTTTCTGCTGATTTTATTTCCTCTAGTTTTGCACCTACCACCCACAAACATTCCACTTTCTTACATTTCAGATGCTTTTTCCTTCTCTTCAATTAAAATGTGTGCTGAGCCTTTCAGCTGCTGAACAGCTTTCTGGCTGGGGAAGATAACTCTGTGCTTGGTTCCTTGCCTGACTCAATACCACGTTGATCATAAGGGTGAAGTTTCATCCTAGAAAGGATGAGTGCCCTTCCTGAAAGTTTATCTACTAATTGGAGGAAAGTAAGACGATAGGTTTCAGGCCAGTTATCAGCAGGAAGCATCTCAGTGGGACTCACTGTTCCTTGCAAGAGAAGACTAGAGCACTAGGATTAATAGCTGCAATGCAAATGAATTCTGGGCTGCTCCAGCAGGACTGATGCTGCTGCTTTTCATGCCCTCAGACTACCTGTTCCTGTCCTTATGTGTAATTTCTCTTGAGATAGCAAAGACTTCTTATCTCATCTCTTCTTATGCTGGTACGGGATAGTATCCTAGTAGCAAAGCATTACCTTTGCTAGTGTTCAGATCATTTCCAGTTACATCTCTCCTGTCCCTTCACTTGTGAGGTTCTTCCACATGCTGATCTGTCTCTTTCCTAGGGCAACTCTTCTGATGTCAGGCATAAATGTCTCGTTTCTCCAATTCTTCTAGTCAAAGCTCTTCATAAAGTTGAATCAGTAATTTCTTCCTTTAGTACTTGCATCTCTAAAATTCTTGTTCAACTGTTCAGTTTCCCCACTGAGCTGTTTCTCAGGCAAGCTGTGTAAATTTTCAGTTGTTTTGATCTTTTCTTCCCAAGCTGATCTCCTCAAGCCGTTAGAGGGGGACACAGAACAAAAAGCAGCATCGCAAATGCGATGAAAGCATGAATAGTAGTGTTTGTGCTCTCTCCAGCGTATCTAGGCTGAAATCATACTGGCTTCCAATAATTTGCTTGGACATCTCTGCATTAATACTTTTGAATGATTTCACACCGCCCCTAACACCCCCCTCCTTGGATGATATTAGTTTGCTTTCTCAAAAGTAGGGCTGATATTATTTTTCTGCCCTGGTTCTGATCACTTGCCTTATTTGTGTCCTGACTTCTGTTCAGCTTCTCCCAAATTAGCCTTGTCTGTGAATTTCATTAGTGCTGTTTACTTCCTCTTCTAGCTCTCATGAAAGATGAAAACAGCTTTAAACCTTTGATGTTTATGCATCAGCCAACAGTCAGTTTGAAAATTGTTTTCTTCTTATTTTACATGAATCCTATATTTGATGGAGTCTTTAAGCCAAGTAGGTTGGCAAAGAGGGAATAGTATTTTCTTCATTCCTGCCTTGGAAGGTAAGACTGCTATTTTTCCCCTCCCACAAAGATGATGATCTGCCTGTGAAGCCCAAGAAGGAATGGATTCACATGGACAATGTGGAGTTTGAGAAGCTGGAATGGATGAAAGATTTACCCTCACCTCGGCAGAAGAAAACCAAAAAGGTTTGAAAGCAGAAACTGGTATTTTTCATGTTTGTGTCTGGATCGTGCTTCTCAGCAGTAACAGTTTTGAAGGCTTCAAAAACTAGTCCTCTGGTTACTCAATCTGTAAGATTTCATCAGGCTGGGAGATTCCCCAGTTTCTTCTATAGGCTGGGTAATACGTGGTCAATTCAGTCTGTAGTGCTCAAGAGAGCTAGGAAGTGAGAGTTTAGCAGCTGTAATCTGGGATGAAACAGGTCTGAAAGCTAAGAAAAAAGGAAAGAGGGGAGTAAATTTTTTTTAAGAATTTGAGGCCTGACCTGGGGAGTTTTTGAACTGTCACCTTCCAGCAGTTGGTGTAAGAGGTGGTATTTTAAGAGGTGAATGGAGCGGAAGGCAATAGAAATAATCTTTTTCTCCCTCCACCCTTTCATTGTAGGGAATGCAAGCTCGATTCAGTTTAAAGGGAGAATTAATTCCTGCAGATGCTGATTTACCAACACATCTAGGCCTGCATCACCATGGAGAAGAGGCAGAGGTAGGTGTAATGTAGTAGAAAGGGCACACCTATTTATGTTTTCTGTGTTTGATTTGGCAGATTCCTTTTGTATCAAAGCTTTTTAGTGACAAAAACCTTAGGAAAGTGTGGATTGGTGATTTTCTTTTGAAACAAGCTCCTGAGGAGAAGTTGGATCTGCATGCATTAACTGCTTTGCTTTCAGAAAACTCCATTAATGCTTTTTATCTTAAATGCCATTAAGGATCTGTGGTGTTGGAAAAAGGTGCACATACCTCCTTTTCTTAAGGAGTCAGTTTTCTCCTGTCACATCAATGATTAGAATCTCTTTTGCAATTGCCACAAAGCAGCAAACAACATTGCATTGCAGCTTATCTCCCGTTATGCAGTATTTTACAGTTAATCTTATTTTAAGGGGCCTGTTTTTACCTATAGCTGAGTTTTTTTGTTGATTTTTTTTTTTTCTTTTTTGTCCCGTCCCCTTTTTTCTTTTTTGTCCCCCCCCCCCCTTTAGAGGGCTGGTTATTCTCTCCAAGAGCTCTTTCATTTGTCTCGCAGCCAAGTTATTCAACAGAGGACACTGGCTCTACAGGTCTTGGGTCGTATTGTTCAAAAGGTAAGTCACTTTCCATGGAATTCCTCCCCATAATTCAAGTTTCTGGTGGATCAGGGCCCAGATTCTCTGGTACTAGTTGTTTGCTTTCTACTATTCAATGAATGTGAGCAAAATCACCAGCAGGGCATTCTTTTTCTCAGGATCTCCTTATTGTTAGAGAAGTTAAGTGTTGGGGCATAACAAACTGAGTTTCAGGTTTCTCTGGAGGGAGATGCTTCCAAGCGTTGTTCAGCAGCAGTGCTGCAGCTTCAGTTCTGTTGTTGCTTTGAACACAAGCATTATTTTTTTGGTGTTTCTTTTGTGACAAACCTATCCTTGGCAATGACCCTTTCACTCCTGTTGTCTGAGCCAGCTTCATGATGTGCTTTTTCTGTAGGAGGTGAGCATGAACCAGCCTACTCATAGAGCAATGTGCCAATAGCATAAAGCAAAATGAATATTTACTTCTGTGCACGTTTCCACCTACCTCTTAGGGGAAGTGCTAACCTTCCCTCCAACAGCAGTGGAGGCAGAGAAGAAGAAACAATGTGATTTTGAGAACAATGGAGCAGAACAGGATGAAGTCAGAAGATGGGTCCAGACTTTAAAAAGAAAGGTTTCCTGCATTAAGGAACTGGAGTTGCGTGCCTCTGTAGAATGAAGAGAGGAGAGAATAAAGGAAAAAAAAAAACCTGCACACAATTTAGCTGCTTTATAGTAGAAATGGGAAGAGGCAGACACGCAGAATGTTGAGATGTACCCAGTTTAGATGACACAGCTTTAACACTGGCTCTGTGTGGCGTACATTTCAGGCCAAGGCTGGAGAGTTTGCTTCCTCCTTGAAGGGCAGCATTCTGCGTCTGCTGCTTGATGCTGGGTTTCTCTTTTTGCTGCGCTTCTCACTGGATGATGCAGTGGATAACGTCATGGCAGCATCTGTTGGTGCTCTCCGGGCTCTGCTGGTGTCACTCGATGATGAGGTGAGACAATCATTAAGTGCCTGGGCTTGATTTCATGCTGGGCTGTTTATAGGAATAGGAATGAGAAGACTTGGTAAACAGCTTAAACAAAGGCTTGCTGGATGGGTTAGCTTAATGGTCAATAGAATGCCATTGCTGTGCTTTGGGACAGACAAGGGAGTGTGTTATCCCAGTCTGAGAGATTCAGACATCTTTTCTCCTGTTTGAATTAGTTCTGCCTCATGATTAAATCCAGTGCAGGCTGCTGAGGTTCTCTTCCTTTTGACATCTTTACAATCTAGATCAGGCCACTACTAATGTATGTGTACAATTTAGTTTTTTTTTAGTATGGCTTCCTATGTTGTTGGCTTCTTGCTTTGTAGTTTTTCTGCTTCTGAACAGATTAAATATTCTCCCTGCTTTCCCTTATGCCTCGTAATGATGCTGTTTTCTCTTTCTCTCATTGTCCATTTTCTGCTGTTCTCAAATGCTTTTCTTACATTGATAAATATCTAATTTTGCATTCTCGTGTGTCTATTCTCTCCTTGATGCTTTTTCTCCTGTTAGAATGTTGAAACTTCTTTTGGGTGTTCAGAGATACTAGACAGCCCTGAGGAGCAAGACTAAGATGTCTTCCTGGTTGGACAGAAGCAGCCTTTATAGGCAAAGCATTCTGTGGGCTGTATTTCAAGTTCCTTCCATGAGAGCTGCTCCTGTGTCAGATTGCAAAGGGGCTGGTGATAGAGAAGAGTGGGCAGATCTCAAGAAGTCCCCTGCAACTTCTCCCAGGCCTTTGGAGCTCTCCCTAGTGGGGAGGCAAGAGAAATGAAGGACTGGGTAGCTTTCTCCACATCTTGCTCCTTTTCTAAGCTATGAGCCTAATGGCGTTCTAGATGAGTCCTGCCCGCCTGTGGTAGGTAATTAATGCTATGAATCAGCTTCTTAATGTGCTTTTCTTTCTTCTGATATTACTCTGGTTCATAACTGCCTGCAGTGCTCTGATTCTCAGGTCAAAGCTTGTGGTGTGATGTCTTGTATAAGCAGGGATTGCTGACTCTCTCAATGCCAAAAGCAGCGCTGTGAGTGCTGTGTCAGTATATTTTTCTCATTCAGAGAGTCTTTCCTAGAGTCTCACGCTGCTGAGTTTCAAAAGGTCTCTGAGGAAGCGACAGGGCTGGAAGTTTGGCCTTTTGCTCCAGGATTTGGAAGACAAACAGGATTTATCCCCACTATAAACACAGAAGATCAACATACATAAAAATCATGCTGTCTGAAGGTTTTGTTCATTCATCAATGGCTATGGGAAGGAAGCACCTTTCTCTTTGTTTCCTTCGAAGACCCAGATACTCTGTCTTATGCTTTTCCTTCTCTTGGTGGAAGGAAGGCTATAGTCCCAAACTCTGTATTCCAGATAGCTTCATCCCCCAAAGTCAGGCCTCTTCTGACCATGTCATTCACTCACTCACCAACTTTGTTTAATATTGCTTTTTTTAAATTTTTTTTTGTCTGTTAATAACTTGCGCTTCCTTGGCACTTCCATTTGAAATTTTTCAAAACAGCTCAGGGTTTAGTTGAAGTCTACCACTTCTTTTCTGACTAATGTGGTAGTTATTTCTGAGTGCCAGTTCAGGAAATGGAAATTTAAAGCAGTTATTAAGTAGTGCAAGCATTCAATTTGACTGTCTTTTATATTCTAAAACATTTTGGGGGAAGTAGGTCTGCTATGGGAGCAATCCCCTCTCTGAAGAGTTGAAAGCTCACTTACTGCAGTATTGCCCTGGAACTTGAGAGTATCTGACACTGTCATTAGCTGTGAACAAAAAAGGGTTTTTTTATTTGCTGAAGTTGGGGGGTGTTCAGACAAAAGCCAAACAAACATGAAAAAATACATCAGGCAGTCTTTATTTTAACATACCATTTTTACATGACCATTCTGTATTATTTGTGACCTAAGTTCCACGCAGATCCAGAAATGGGAATAGAGCCAATAAATGCCAAATTTAAGTTTATCTTCTAGAGCCTTGGTGGTTTGTTTATTTAGTTTTATCTTAAATGTTTTCTTGTTAAGCTGCATTTCTGGTACCTGCATAGTGAATTTAATTCACCTCACAGTAATTGCTTTCCATGTTTTCCCAGGTGTGGGTCATAGGTTAAAATCACTTCCCTGAAAAAGCATTGCATTCTACTTGTACATGTCTAGAACACCCTTTATCGTGTTCCTGGGGTTAGGTGGGAATCAATAAAGCATTCCATAATCAAAAGCATCCTTGAAACGTTTTTGTCTTCCATCATTTCTTTGTGAGAATTTTATTTTATGTGCTTTTATTCTCCTTATAGAAATATCTTGATTGGACGTTCTCATGGTATCAAGGGATGGCTGCATTCCCCTTTGTCCCCAACAATGAGGAGGAAGAAGAGGAGGAAGAGGAAGAAATAAATGGAACAGAGAAGTCTCAAGATAAAAAATTAAAAGATGAAAACAAGCCAGATCCAGATGTGGCCCGATATGATGTTGTAAAGGTGTGCTAGACCTGAAATCTGTTTAGGAAAATAGGCTCTGCACAGTGGCTATGTGTGCTGTTGAAACGTCTGTCCTTCTGTCTATGCTATTAAGAACATTCTGAACAAGAGTTAGAACTCTTCCCTGTTGGATGTTATGTTTCTGTCATATATTACCAGAGGGTAACTTTATTGATCTCTAAAAATGTTGAGACTTGACCTGTGTGATTTCAGTATCATTAAGTATCTCTAACTCCCTCTAGGGAAATTGGCAACAAGAACACTGATGACCTTGTAAGACTTGCTGAAAGACTGCTTACAGACATGATTTTCAAGCTCGCTTACTTGAGCTAGAAGTGAAAAGGTTCCAGCCACTATTAAAGTGTCTGTATGCACTTTTGTGAAGTTAAACATGAGTGTCACAGCTAGGTAGTTCAGAACCAGTTAGATTTGTACAATGACACTCTTTTCATATTTGACATAAGGTGACTACTTAGCATTTCCCCAATTTCATTGTTCATATTTGCATTTCTCAGACAGAGTTACAGCATTTGGAAGGAATTCCTCACATATTTGAGCCTAATCCCACATTTCTGATAGGAGATCTAAAAATAGCAATCTTTGTTACCTCAAACCCAACCTTGGTGGAGCTGATGCAACTCTCTTGCCTGCTGCAATCATTAAAACCTGTGATCACATCACTTAGCCTATATGCTTGAGACTGTGTTCGAATGGCACTTGGTTAAAAGCTTTACTGGACAAATGAATTACTGTACTTGGGCATCTGGTCTCATTTAGAGGCTTCATGATTTCACATGTATTCTACTAGGTGACACTGTTTAAAAAGCTTAACAAAAGAGTTGTAGATAGAAGAGATGAGATCAGTTTGTGATTCTGAAAACAGTTACATTGTTCAGCATAATGGATTTTAACTTGTGCCAAGTGGCCCAAACTCAGAAGATATTTGGGATAAAATTCTCCACTGTTCCAGTTGTTGTAAAATTCCATTTCACACCTGCTTGTTGACTGTTACAACCCAATTACTCCACACAGTTGGAAAAGGAGTATTTAAACTAGCAGCTGAACTCAGTCAGGCCTGGAACTACACCCTTACTTGGCTACAACTTTTTAAAAGTATTGGTACTTATGAACTCAGGTGTTGTGGAGTTGCCTTTTCCCACAACTAGGAATGCATAACGCTGTCACTTAAACTGAAGATTTGTTGCCTAACACTGCCACTGATCATGGTCTTCTGCTCTGTGAACTATCAAATAAAAATCACATCATCTCTCTGCATCTCTCTTTTTCTACTGCAAAATAGGAATTGGTGTCTGTTCTCTGCTTCTGTCAGCTTTCTCTGTCATAACAGGTACTATCAGGCAGAAGTGCTGCATTAGGTGGAGGTGGTGTCTATCCAAAATGATTCAAGGAGCATGAGGACCCTCTTCAGCCACATTAGGTTTTAGCAGTCCTTTATAGGGAAGGTTGTTTTCCTATTCCTTGTTACTTACGGTTTCATACTCTGGAAAACACAAGTATCCAAACCCCACCAGTGGTCTGATTCAGAACAGAAGTTC